AAACTATCTGTTTGATTTAGTCGCTTTATAATCTAGCTTCATTCCCGAACACGCCAACACGTGTAGTATTTTTACTACTGTACTTGGAAATATTTAGGTATGATTTTTCCTTCCTTTTGGAAGTTATATTAAGGTCAAACACGTCAATTTAAAACTATCTGTTTATTTAGGCGCTATAATTTTGCTTTATTAGTAATTAATATAAAGTATTATTCTAATTTACTACTTATATTCATTAAAAAATGCAATCTATTATATAATGATTATACTGTATGTATAAACTTGTTGCACTGACGGTGGCAGATATGTAATATATACAGTATGAGTGGCCGTGTYGTAACAGATATACAACAGCGTAGCCGAGTGATTGTATTTCTGATACAACACGGACACGAATACTGTATATGACTTATCAAACATCTAGGTTAGTTCCTTTGTGTTTCACTAAAATTTTCAAAGTTAAAGTGAATCTGGCCAAGAAAATCAAACTTAAAGTTTATGCAAATGAACACAGTTTTGTATCAGATTTACAACACTCTTCACGGTCGTGATTTCTGTTGTGTTTTCCTCATGAATTATTAATGAGTTTGATAAATATATTTTTTCTTTTGAAATAGCATAGCTAAATATATCAAATATTTTATATTTTGCAGAGACAAATAGAAGTGGAGATTCTTCTGTTTTTGAACATGGCTCGCTGGATGATATTGTGTCTTTTCTCTGTTATCATTTTGGTTATCGTGCGTGCATCCTTGGTATCTGCTGACGGTCAGTGTATAAAGGGAAAGTATCACAAACCTAAGCCCTCTCCAGCAAACAAGCCATTCAAAGCTTGTTACCAGTACCGCACCACTAATTCTTGTTGCAAGTCTGAGTTCACTGTTGAGTTGGCGGCTACAAGGACAGAGAAGCTTTACAATCACACGTGGGACATATGTAAACCTCTCAGTGCTAAGTGTCTGGAATTCTGGATGCATCAGGTAATATAATACTAAAAAGTGAGAAATTTCATTGAACTTACGGTAATAAAATTAATATCCACTGGAAATAGGAAATAGCTTTTCTGAAAACCATATTTTAAGAATTTCCTTGTGAGCATGCATTGCCCCCAGCTCAGGTCTCCTCTGGTTTCCTTTTGCAGTGTTAGTGCATGGTAAGATTTGTCTGATGCAGAGTTTTATCAGCACCTAGCCTTTATCAGATTTCTGGATTAACCATTTGAATTTGCTATCACAGCAACAACGAATCATTTTGGCGGACATTAATCAGAATGATTCCATGCAGAGTCAGAAAACACTAAGTTTTCAAGAATACTTGACTATGAATTGTCATGTAAGCGCTTTGATTGACATCTACCAAAACATACAGCATTGAGACGGCAAATCGTGTGCACGCTTTCATGCATGGGAAGCACTAAAGCTGCAGGACCCCCAGCTACCACCCTCTTTCCATGATCATTGCCTTAGCTTCCTCTACATTCTATCTTTTAATTAAACCAGTCTGTAATAAATTAGAAAAAATAAGCATAACATGGGTGGCATATGCTGCTAACGAGTCGTCTTGCTGGTTCGAGCCCTGCAGTCATCACATGTGAATTGAGTTTGATTGATGTGTGGTTCTCTCCTATGTTACAAGGGTTTTCTCCAGGTTCTCCAGTTTCTTCCCTCCATAAAAATCAATATGTTGAGTTGAGTGTTGGGTGCATAGAACATTGAATGTAGTGGTAGTGTGTGTGAGTGAAAGGGTTCCCAATAAAGACTAAAGCACTAAAACAACTACACTTAAATAAATTTTTACTTTTATTTAATTTTCATATTTTGTTATTCTAATATGATCGATGCCATCACATTCTATCAAATCTGGTTGCTACGTTGCTTTTGGAAAGCAATATTCCCATAATGTTTTTTTGTGTGTAGAGGTAATTTTGAGTATTGAGGCATAATTTTTTTTTCTGTTTTACTATACAATTTCCGAATACATTTTCTTCTTTTTAGGAATGTTTTTATCAGTGTTCTCCTTACTTGTATAAATGGGCGCATCCAAAAGTACAAGATGGAGTTCATGGTAAGAATATAAACTGTGATTCTCGTGTGCAATATTTTACAAAATTAGATATTCCAACTGTTCCATCAGTCCATCTTATCCATATATACATCTATACATGCATCCATCGACCCATCCATATTATACACTTATTTCAATAAAGTTAGTCACCTGAAAAGCTTGAAATCTGAGACCGACAAGGATTATGGGTAGATACATTTTACAGGTTTCAACCGCTTGATAACTTGATGGACATGAGATCTTTTACCAGTTACAGTCTCACCTCCTCTGAGCATCCTCAACTGCTGCAG